ATCACAATTTCCCTAATGTAATAAGAAGCTCAAGACCTCACTCTGGTCTTACTGGACAACAAGGTAATTTGTCTGCTGTTGCTGCTAATTCTTATAGCCCGGAGCCATGCCAGAACCTAGAAAGCTATTTGACTTTTGATTTAAGGAATACTTCTTTCCCCCATCCATGAGGGATATATAATTGCTTTACTTCTAACTCACTTTGTCCAAGCATTCGTGTCATACCTATTTTGTAAAATTCTGTCTTGGTGAGTGTTAGCTAAAATTGTAGTATTTGGAATTCTATTACTGAGAAATTTTATGTTATTAACAGGAACTCTAGGCAGTCAAAGATTTCAGAATAATGTCTATTCACAGGGAAGAAATTTGCATTTCCTGACTGAAGATTGACTCTAATGATCAGTGACAAGTGTTTTATATAATGTAACCTTTCTAACTTTGATTTTAAGATGATCCTTCAAAAATACTTAATAGTGACCCCTTTGGAGGTGCCATCAAGACTAGCTAGCGAGCCAGTCTCAGATTCCTGAAAACTTTCATTCATTTATTTATTTATTTTACCAGTATTCAGGATTAAACAGAAGCTCTCATACATGCTAGGCAAACACTTTACCTTTGAGTTACACCCCTGACACCCTACCACCTCTATCTATCTCTATCTATCTATCTATCTATCTATCTATCTATCTATCTATATATCTATGGAGACAGTGTCTTAGTAAGTTGCCCAGGCTGTCCTTGAACCTGGATCCTCCTGTCTCAGCCTTCTGAGTAGCTGGATAACAGGCATGCACCACTAACCCCAAGTGAGAGCTTCTTTTAACAGACTCATTTATCTAGTTTATACCTTCATGAAGTTGATTTTATCTTTGGCATCTCTGGTACCAGGTGCTAAAAACAAATGTTTTATTTAATTGTTTAATTGAGCCTTAACACAATGGAAATCTTTTTATATTTTACTATGTCTAATGTTTATTTTTCTTTGCTTGACTACTTTGAATATTTCTGGCTTTGATAAATTTCATCATAAATTTTGTTGGTTCACTTGAATAATTACACTATTTATATCTTTTTTTCATAAGACTTAATGACTAAACAATGTATCTTTTCATTCCATATTTGTCACTTTTCATCAGAGACTAAGTGAAAAAATAATTATTTTGAATTATTTTATTTAAAAAAAACTCTGATTTTTAAATATATATATATTTAAAAAATTCAAGCAATTTTCAAAAATAAAAGCAAAAAATTACCCCCTCTTATCATTAAGAAAATAGCTATTGCTAACCCTAGGTGAATATCATTCAGGACATCTCTAGGCCTGTATACAAGGCTAGACAAACAGAAAGAAAAGTAGATAAATAGATGTTATTAGAATTGGATCATAAAATAGCTGATAGCTAATAAAAATAATAAATTAATTTAACAAAAGAAAAACAAATTAAATGATACAGAATAGCTGAATTTCAGACAGAATTTTCAGCACATTTTGGACATATTTCAGAGATTTTGATCATGTTCACTTGCACTGGACTCAGATCTGATCTTTAGCTCTTTGCCTAAACCTCAAGGAATTTCTTGGTTGCTTGGCCAACAATATTAGACTCCTCAATCCCTAATAGTTTATCTGATTGCAGTTATGTGTATTTTTGTCAGAAGCCTATTATTCTTTCTGTAGAAAGACTAGAAAGAAAAGTTTCAAGCTCAGTGTTTATATTCCAGTCTGTCACTTTAGAGATCCTCATAATCAAAGTGCCCTGAAACTTGTAGATGGTACTCACTGAGAATTCTAGGGAGACAGTGTTTTTCATAAATAGGTCTGGCCTTCATGCTTCATTATGGAATAGGTCCAAAGATGGTCATTTTGGGATGGTCACATCAGAGTTTATGTGTCCTGCTTGATCCATAGCATCTCACTTATAAAGTAGGTTACATTAAAAGCCTAGTCTTATGCAATCTATTTAATGCAGCTTGCAATTGCTAAGGTTTTTTTTTTTTTTGTTGTTGTTGTTGTTATTGTTGTTGTTGTTTTCTCTACAAAATTCAGATGAAATTATCTTCAGTTTATTAAGCTCAAATGCCAGAGCAGGGGATAACAAACAAAAAGACTTATATAAGATGACATAAAAATGTTGGTGGAGCTGGACATGATAGCACATGCCTGTAATCTCAGCAGCTCATGTGGCTGAGTCAAGAGGATCACAAGTTCAAAGCCAGCCTCAGCAAATTAGCCAGGCCCTAAGCAACTCAGCGAAACCCGGTCTCTAAATAAAATATAAGAAAGGGCTAGGAATGTGGCTTAGTGGTTAAAGGCCCCTGGGTTCAATACCAAGCGCTCGCTCGCTCTCTCTCTCTCTCTCTCTCTCTCTCTCTCTCTCTCTCTCTCTCTCTCTATATATATATATATATATATATATATATATATATATATATAGATTATTTATCATAGGCTCTGCACAATGCCACAGGCCATGACCTTGCAGAATGCCTGGGTAATGTATCAAGTAGCATCTGGGAAACTCTACCCAGTCCTCCCATCAACAATACAAAACTCAATGTTATCAACTGTATCTCGTTAACTATGTAGCAAAGAATTAAAGGAAGCTGTATGACTGAAAGGGAGCTGAAAATTTAATAAGAAAGGTCAACATGACCCAGGCACATGGAAGGAAGGAAACTGACATTTCTCTAGCCTCTCTCTCTATATTTTTTTTGTTCTTTCTTTTTCTTTTTTTAATTTATTCTTTTTAGATACACATGATGTTAGAGCATATTTTGACATATTGTACATACATGGAATATAACTTATTCTAACTAGGATCCTATTCTTGTGGTTGTACATGATGTGGAGTTACCCTGGTTGTGTATTCATACACAAGGGTAGGAAAGTTATGTCCAATTAATTCTACTGTGTTTTCTATTCCCCTCCCCCTCCCCCTCCCTTCCCTTTATCTAATCTAATGGACTTCTACTCTGCCCCTCTCTAACCCTCCCTTTTTGTGGGTTACATTCACACATCAGGGAGAACAGTTAGCCTTTGGTTTTTGGGGGATTGGTTTATTTTACTTAGCATGCTATTCTCCTGCACTTCAGATAAAACATTAATCTCCATTTTTTAAATATATTGTTTGACCATTCATATTTCTTCTTCTGTGAAGTGCTTTTTGTTCAATTCTTTTGCCCATTTATTAATTGGGTTATTTGTTTTTTTAGTGTTCAGTTTTTTTGAGTCCTTTGTATTCGGAGCCTCTATTCTTATGTTAATGTGTTTACCTCTTTTTTAATCTTCATACCACCCTGTGGAGTTGATGACATTTGTCTTTTTGTGTTACAGAGGAGTAAGCAAAGCTTGAAGGGGTTGATGCTGAATGATGAGCTGGAAATTGAATCCAGATCTGTCCCAAGTCCTGTGTTGTTTTTCCTGAGTGGTTCTACCTCCCTTCACATTGTTATTCCAACAAAATTTGAAACTACACGCAATGAAGCTTTGTCGTAGGGTACTATGCATAGCATGATATGTGGCTCCCCTCTTTCGTCATTCCTCAGAGCATCAGACCCAACTATTTCAGTCATAATGCTGTCTCCGAGTCACACCTAACACTTAACAGATTTGGTTACTGCCTGTCCTTGCCACCTGATGCTGCCAGGGAAAATGGAAGAACAGCTGCTGGAAAGTCTTGCTGGTTCCTTTGAGTAGTTTGTGACATTATCTAAATTTTAAATTCTAAAGGGCTCTGTTGACACTGTAGTTTTAAGAAATAGATCTGGAAATAAGATAGATTTTTAGAAAACTATTTTATTGGTATTACGTAGACTTCTCAATTAATGTATATGAAACATGATCCCCAGTAATGAATATTGAATGACAGTTCTGGCATTAAGAGATGGAATTCTATTTGAAAGGTCATGTGCACAGTTGAGCAACTTCATATCAAGTGATCTTATTAGGGAGATTACACTGTAGAACTCGTGATATAGGCTTCTCTTCTTCTTCTTCTTCTTTTTTAAGTACCATGAGCTGTTTAAAGATAAAGACTGATTATTTTAAAATTTCTTACAATTTAATAACATGGAAAATTAAGTAAAAAGTTTTATTCACTGCTTATTATTCTTTCTGATTTCAAAATCTCTTTTAAAAAGTGGGTAGATCACATAATATAAGAAGCAGAGAGTAGTCCTTATTACATGGTATTAAGCCATTTGTTGGCAGGGACAACTTTCATGTTTGCGGCAAAAAAAAATTATTGGTCAGAATCTCACTATATCCCAGCTATGTGAATGGTGGTGGTGTAGGGAGATAGGAAAGAGAAGGAGTTATTTATCATTTTATTTTATAACTGGTGAAATTGGAATAGAGAATTGATTTGCCGAGGTCACAGTGTTCCTGAATATACAACACTCTTTCAGCTGTGTGGCAGTTTTTCTTAAAGCAGAGTTCTAGTACTTTATGGTTCCTTCAGGGAGGTGTCACCTTCTTTCTTATTTCAAATATGCCTAATCTGAAAGCTTCAATAGCTTTGCAGCTCTCTCCTCTTTCTCTCTGGCTTTTATTTATTTATTTGTTTATTTATTTTTGTATTGGGGATTGAGCCACATCCTTTTTGTGTATTTTATTTAGAGACAGGGTCTCACTTTGTTCCTGAGAGCCTTGCTAAATTGTTGAGGCTGGCTTTGAACCTGTGATCCTCCTGCTTCAGCCTTCTGTGCCGCTGGGATTACAGGCGTGTGCCACCCGGGCCCAGTCCCATCTATGGCTTTCTTTTATACTGACCCGGTTTGAAATGATAGATCATTCCTTGTTTGGTTTCAGTAGTACTACAAAACTCTTAGGACAGAACAAAGACTCTCAGAATAGAATCACCTTAATATTGCTGCCATCAAAACAACTGGACATTATTCTAGGAAAGATAATGTTCTTTCATTTTTAGGCTTTTCATTTATCTCTCAATGCTGAAATCAAACAAATTTATTGGCCTAAGACATTCAAGACTCAGACTCACCCTAGAAAATTGTTATCCTCTCTCATATATTGAATTAAATCATTGGATTGCAATTGCTGTTGAAAAAAATAAAAGAAACAAAGCATAAAAAGAAAGCAGCTTGTATTCTAGAGGGAAATTAATTTATAATCACATTTTTCTAATTATAGTGTTTTCAGTATTTCCCCCCTTTGAGAAATCTTCTGTTTGGTTCTCTTTCAGCTCCACAGCCTCCACAACCCAGAGTAAACTCTCTGATTAGAGAAACTTTCCATGTGGTGAGATTCTAGCTCCCCCTTTTTCCCTACCCACCCCACCCCACCCCACATGCAAGTAGTTCTACCATCTGTCTGTAACACTGCCTGAAATTCCATCATTTAATATATTCCTGCAGATTAAATATGCACTTACTTATTTAAAAAATCATCATCACTTCATTGAACATTATCCTAACATAACTACTTTAATTAACTTTCTCTGATATTTTCAATGCTACTACAGATATTTTTAATAACACAAATACCATGCGAATTTATGTTTATTTCTTGTTGTTGCTGTTCATTATGCTGTTTAATATATCCCTATGTCAACACAAGGTATATATGCATCATGCTATTTTCATTATTAATTTGCTCTAATTTGGTAATTTGAGAAGAAAAAGGATTTTGAATTGTGTCAAATGTTGTCTTAAAAAAGATTTCTGCTTAAACATTATTTTACACAAATGCCCGATTCTGGCTTTCCCAAATTATTTTCTTAAATATCTTTAAATTCCAAAAAGTAGAATACTGAGTCAAAAAAGAACAATGTGTTGATATCTCATTTCATATTTCCAATACAGTTAAAACTATACCATTGAAAGAGTGTATCACCAGGCATGGTAGCACAGGTCTGTAAACCTAATGGATTGGGAGGCTAAGGCAGGAGGTTCACAAGTTCAAAACCAGCCTTAGCAAGGCCCTACACAACTTAGTGAGACGCTATCTCAAAATTTAAAAAATATAAAAAAGGCTGCCAATATGGTTCAGTGTCTAAGCACCCCTGGGTTCAATCTCTGCAACCAAAAGAAAAAAAAAAAAGAAAAGAAAGATTGTTGTCAATTTGAAATGTACCAATGACATATGCATATCAGTTTCTCTACACTGATAATTACTATCATATTTAAATATAAAAAATATATGCATAATACTTATGTGTATAGTTAGAACTCATAATTTTTGGCTTTATATTTTTTATTAGACAAGGCAATATTTTTCAACTGCTGTTTTACTGTACCCCCTTTCATTTGTAAAGTATAAAATCCTCCATATTGGTCTGTTAGCTCTGCATTATGATTAAGATCATACAATGAGGAAGTGACCGCATTAAGATTTGAATTTAAAGCTTGAGGATGTAGCTCAATGGTAGAGTGCTTTCCTAGCATGGGGGAGGCTGTAAGTTCAATCCCCAATACTGGAGGAAAAAAAGATTTTAATTAGGTCAGTCTGATTTTAAGTCACTCCACTATATGGACAAGGACGACACTGGATTGGAGCAGGAAAGGAATCTGCTTAAATTTATGTACATAAACGTAGGTGTATATATGTAGATACCTACCCATATATAGAGACAAAAGTATAACTGTGGGAGTGATATCCCATTACCTTTGCCATATAATATAACCTAATCAAAAGAATAACATCCCATTATTTTAGCCATATTCCACCAGTGAGAAAGAAGTTACAGATTCTGCCTGCATCAAGGAGAAGGGATTATACAGTGTAACAATGAGGGCGGAGATCATGGTGGCCAACTTGGAATTCTGCTTATCACAATAGTAATTTAGTATTTCCATTCTATGTGTAAGCCACAATTTATTCATCCAGTCTAACACAGATGGACATTTAGAGCCATCCAATTTGTTTCTAGTTGGAGGCTGTGATATTTAATTTTAGGTGTCAATTTGGCTGGACCATGGTGCTCAGATAATTGGGCAAATATTATTCTGGATGCTTCTATGAGGTTGTTGTTGTTTGAGATTTGCATTTAAATTGGTGAACTTTGAGTAAAGCAGATTGCCCTCCATAGTATATGAGAGCCTCATCCAAACAAGTTGAAGGCCTAATAAAACAAAAAGCTGACTTCCCCTGAGCAAGACAGAATACTAATTCTGCCAACAGAATGCCTTCAGACTTCATCTGCAATATTAGTTCTTCCTGGTTCACAAGCAGACTACCTTTAGACTTAAACTGCAACATGTTTTTTCAGTCTCCAGTCTTCTGACCTCGCCCATTCGATATAGGACTCACCAAGGCTTCACAGTTGCCCGAGCCAATTCCTTAAAATATATCCCTTATCCCTTTCAACACACACACACACACAATTTGTTCTGTTTCTCTGGAGAATCTTGACCAATACAGGGGCAATTAATAATGTTGCTCCTATGGATGTTCTCTTGTATGCCTCCTGATGAATATGAGAAGATAAGTGGGGAATATGTTTAGGAGTGGAATGCGTGGGTTGTAAAGTATGCTTCTATTCATCTTTATGAGTTAGTGCCAGAGTAGTTTTCAAAGTTTTTGTGCCTGTTTATACTCCCACCAGCACAGCTGAGTTCCCATCAATACAAATGGTTTGCTCATAAACACATGGTATTCTCTACTTTAAAATTTTTGTCAATCTGCTGGGTATGAAATGGTATCTCATTATACTGGTATTCCCTTGATAACAAATGAGGTTGAGCATATTTTCATATATTTATGAGCTATTTGAGTTTCTTCTTTTTTGGGTGGGTGGGTAAGTGGGTTACCAGGGATTGAGCTCAGGGGTACTCAACCACTAAGCCACATCCCCAGCTCTATTTTGTATTTTATTTAGAGACAGGGGCTTACCTAGTTGCTTAGTGTCTCAATGTTGCTGAGATTGGCTTTGAACTTGCCATCCTTCTGTCTCAGCTTCCCGAGCCCCTGAGATTACAGGTCTACGTGCACCCTGTTGCCCAGCAAGTTTCTTCTTTTGTGAAGTCTCTTGTCCATTTATCTACTGAGCATTTTGTCATTTTTCACTGATCTGTGGCAGTTCTTACGTATTCTATATATTAGACCTTCCTAACATGTGCTACAAATATCTTCTTTACTTGATAGACACTTTTTTTACACTTTTTATGGTAATTTTGATGATTAGAAAATCATAATTTTAATGCATCTTAAATTTTCAATGTTTTCTTCTGTTTGTCTTTTTGTGTTTTAAGAAGTCTTTCAGTATTTTATTGCCATGAAAATGTTTTTCTATATTATCTTTACAATTTTTTTATTTATTCTTTTTAGTTTTACACGACAGTAGAATGTATTTTGACATATTATACGTACATGGAGTATAACTTCCCATTCTTGTGTTTGTACATGGTGTGGAGTTACACTGGCCTTGTATTCATATATGAACATAGGAAAGTTATGCCTCATTCATTCTACTGTCTTTCTCATTCATATCCCCCACTTCCATTCATTCCCCTTTCTCTAATCCAATGAACTTCTTTCTCCCCTTCCTGGCCTCCTCTCACTTTATTGTGAGTTAGCATCTACATATCAGAGAGAACATTTGGCCTTTGATTTTTTGGGATTGGCTTATTTTACTTAGCATGAGAGTCTCCAGTTCCATCCATTTACTAGAAAATGCCATAATTTCATTCTTCTTTATGGCTAAGTAATAGTCCATTGTGTATACATACCACATTTTATTTATCCTTTCATCTGTTGAAAGTCTATATTATCTTTTAAGGCTTTAGTTTTGCCTCTGACTTTTATCTCTTTTTAAATAAATGTATTTTTAGTTGTATATGGACCCAATGCAACTAAAAAATATGCCTTTACTTTATTTTTATATGGTGCTGAGGACTGAACCCAGTGCCTCACATGTGCTAGGCAAGCACTCTACCACTGAGCTACATCTCCACCCCACTGACTTTTATCTTGAATTCTCCCAAAATTTTATTTTGTATGTAGTGTCAGGATAGACATCCAATGTACTTTTTTCCCATATGGAAATCTTTATTCAGCCCCACTTTTTGAAAAATCTATCAACCGAAAGAAAAACAGTCCTGTCACATTTATGTTAGTATTATTTATATTATGTTGGGGGATTTTTTTCTGTTCTATTGATCTTTTTGTCTATCAAACATCAATACTACACATCCTAAATGGCACAGCTTTTTAATGTCTTAATATCTTATAGGGCAACCCTAGGTACCTGTATGATTGCACAAATGGTAAGACTCCACATCATGTACAACCAGATAAATGAAAAGTTATGTTACATTTGTGTACAATGAAATGAAATGCATTCTGCTGTCACATATAACTAATTAGAACAAATTTAAAAACCTTATTGGGCAAGTCCCCCATGCTCTCTAGTCCTTCACAGAGTGTCTTGAATATTTTTAGTTCTTTGTACACCCATTTAAATTTCAATCATATTTCATAATGTTGTTTTTTCATTTGTTCAGTTGTGCCATTTGTTGGAGATGGGGTCTCACTGTGTTCTTCAGACTGGCCTTGAACTCCTGCTTAATTCTCATAAGTAGCTGGAATTACAAGCATGTGCCAATGCACAGGGAAGAATTTTTTATTTTTAAATTAGACAAAGGACATTCTTCTCATTCCTAGTTAGCTATAAGTTTTTATTCTGAATGGATGTTAAATTCCATCAAACGCTTTTTCTGCATCTGAGATTATCATATATATTTTTCTCCTTTAGTCTTGTAATGTGGCAAATTGAATTAACTAATCTAGTGTGAAGTCAATGTCTAATGACTAGGATAAACTTCATTTGGTCATAATATGTTATGCTTTCTACCCATTGCTAGATATGTTTTGGTGATATTTTATGTCTGGCAAACACTTTGAATCTTATCCTTTATTTTTTAAAATAGTAAATATTTAAATTTTATGGTTGTGTTTGAAATATGTGTAGACCTATTCCTGGTAACTCTGGCTTCTGCTATTTATCACACATGGTGCCTTTTTTTACTTGTGTGTTTTGTTATTCTTTTTTCTTGTGAGCAATTAATTTCTTGGAACTCTGTAAAGTCTGAGATGACAGTGGGATGCTCTAGATTAAATGTATATTTGTTTTAGAGTGGCCATATGTGAGTGCTATAAGTAAGGAATACTCTAGATTTTTAAAGTTTTTGGTAATAAGAGTTTCTGAGAATTTGTTTCGAACCTGTGTGAGACTTATCTTGTAATTCCACATTTATCTATCTTCTTTGTTTGTTTTGGTACTGGGGATTAAATCCAAGGGCCCTCTACCACTGAACTATATCCCAAGCCCTCATTATGTTGCCCAGGTTGGCCTTGAACTTGCCATCCTCCTGCCTCAGCCTCCTCAGTTGCTGGGATTCAGGTGAGAGTCATCATACCTGGACTATCCAAATTCTGAGCAATTTTTTTTAACCTCTTCTATTCTATGCTAAGAGTCAAGGCTATCTATTGTCTTTTTAGACCTCAGTGATGGAAAAAGGTAGGTTTATTTCCAAGTCATTCTTACAGTGAATTGCCTCAGTCCGGCTGCAGCAAAATAACCAGGGTGGGGGTGTGGGGGGGATGGAGGGTGGGGGGGGTCGGGGGGTGGTGGTGGTGACGAGCAACTTGTGTACATTAATACAGCAGGAGTGGGAGCCGTTTATTGTAGGACAGGAGGGGTATATATACATTACACACAGCTTATCTTAATTAACATAAACTAGATACAGCAGTCAACCAATAAGGAATCTCCACACTTAATGGCTCGCTGGCGTTACTTCACAAACCACTCCCTCTGGCAAAATGCCAGGTGCCATCCAGACCCTAAAACTGAATGTTTAGAACTTTGATGTCTCAGGTGTTTTTGAGGTGGGAATAAATATATTCTGATAAATAAGTATTTGATAAATAAAAGTTGATCTTAGCACATTTACAGTTATGTGTATTCAAATCTAATTTTTTTATTGTACTAGGAATTGAATGCAAGGGTACTCTACCACTGAGCTAATCCCCAGTTCTTTTCATTGATTTTTAAAAATTTTAAATGTAAACTTAAATTTTTTTTTTTGTAGATGGACACATAGGCCAGGTGAGTGCTCTACCACTGAGCTACACTCTAGACCCTCCTTTTATTTACTTATTTGTGTGTGTGGCGGGGGGCTGGGGATTGAACCCAGGGCCTTATGCATGCAAGGCCCTGGGGATATACCTCAGTTGGTAGAGGTATATCCCCAGCTCCTCTTTTTATTCTTTGTTTCGAGACAGAGTCTCACTAAATTGCTCAGTTTGACCTCTAACTTGTAATCTTCCTGCTTCAGCCTCCTGCGTAGCTGGGATAATAGCCATGTGCCTCTGTGGCTGGCAAGCCTTCATAATGTTTAATTTTTTTTTCTGATTTCATGAAATTGTTCTTGCCTATAATATCTCACAGGCAAAAACTCAGAAATTCTAATAGTTGTTGAAAAAGAAACCTAGAATCCTAGTTGTGGATTCAACAAAGATTTCTAACATTTCAAGCTAACTGATTAAAAAAATACTAATGTCTGTTATTTAAATTCAAAACACACACAACAGGGAAAATATAATTTGCACATACACTACCTAGCAAACTAGAAATTAAGGAACAAAATATTCTACCCCTTCTCAAAGAATCTCCATCAGGGAAATGCTTCCTACACATGATTAAGTCAGAGACCAGATAATTCTCCTTGCATTTCCTATAAAAACAGCAAAACCTCAGAGAGAAGATAAGATATTCAATTAAAAGGTGTTTTCAATTAGTTCTGCTTAATGAGGAAGCGACCATTTGTTAATTGTAACATGAACCTCAAGTGGAGGATATTTTTCTTCCTAATTTGTCCCAAACGTTGTTCTGTTTTAGCTTTGAATCATATTCTGCAGCAATGGGCTGAAATTCAATATATTGTTTTATCCTAAACATTTAACAACTCAGAACTAGTTTTGCCCAAATTTCCACTGAGGATAGCATATATCTACTATTTTTATAGTAAGTTTGTTTACTTGGATTATGCTTAGTTGAAACAACAGAAGTGGGACTGTGTAAAATTTGTGTGTTCTCTGAATTATTGCATGCTGTCTTGCTACAATAACAATTTAAGGAGAGTATATCCCTCTTTCACAGTCTCAGTACTTTATAACATAGAAAAGTGTAAAGCAGACAGCAAAATTCCTGTAACATCTTGGTTTATGAAAAAAAGATAAACAAATCTATAAAATTTAATAATTTTGACCCCTAAACAAGAAGCAGCTGTAGTGGAAGTAGAAAGTACAAGGACATAAAGTTTTGATTCTGTAATGTATTAGTTGGGAAATCTTGGGCAAGGCATTTAGTCTCTTTAAGTTCTAGTTTCTTCATATAAAACAGGAATTCTAATAACCTCCTCTTTAAATTTTTGTGTGGGCTTAAGAAGGGATAAAAATGTGAATGCACTTAGCAAACATTTATAAGTACACAAAGGTTTCATTTGTTTGTTGCTTAATCCTCTTAGTTTAACAATAGAATTTCACAGATGGAAAAACTCAGAGACATTAGGTAACTTGCCTAAGATCATATATCCAAACATATTATTTTTTTTTTAATTGGTTGTTCAAAACATTACAAAGCTCATGACATATCATCTTCCATACATTTGATTCAAGTGGGTTATGAACTCCCATTTTTTACCCCAAATACAAGTTGCAGAATCACATCGGTTACACATCCACATTTTTACATAATACCATATTAGTGACTGTTGTATTCTGCTACCTTTCCTATCCCCTACTATTCCCCCCTCCCCTTCCCTCTTATCTTCCCTCTCTACCCCATCTGCTGTTGTTTAATTCTCTCCCTTGTTTTTTTTTTCCCCTTTCCCCTCACAAACTCTTATATGTAATTTTGTGTAACAATGAGGGTCTCCTTCCATTTCCATAGTTTCCCTTCTCTCTCCCTTTCTCTCCCCCCACTCGTCTCTGTTTAATGTTAATCTTTTCCTCACGCTCTTCTTCCATGTTCTGATCTTAGTTGCTCTCTTTATATCAAAGAAGACATTTGGCATTTGTTTTTTAAGGATTGGCTAGCTTCACTTAGCATAATCTGCTCTAATGCCATCCATTTCCCTGCAAAATCCATGATTTTGTCATTTTTTAGTGCTGCGTAATACTCCATTGTGTATAAATGCCACAGTTTTTTAATCCATTCATCTATTGAAGGGCATCTGGGTTGATTCCAAAGTCTAGCTATTGTGAATTGTGCTGCCATGATCATTGATGTGGCAGTATCCCTATAGTATGCTCTTTTAAGGTCCTCAGGGAATAGACCGAGAAGGGCGATAGCTGGGTCAAATGGTGGTTCCATTCCCAGCTTTCCTAGGAATCTCCATACTGCTTTCCATATTGGCCGCACCAGTTTGCAGTTCCACCAGCAATGTACAAGTGTACCCTTTTCCCCACATCCTCGCCAGCACTTATTGTTGCTTGACTTCATAATGGCTGCCAATCTTACTGGAGTGAGATGGTATCTTAGGGTGGTTTTGATTTGCATTTCTCTGACTGCTAGAGATGGTGAGCATTTTTTCATGTACTTATTGATAGATTGTATGTCCTCCTCTGAGAAGTGTCTGTTCAGGTCCTTGGCCCATTTGTTGATAGGGTTGTTTGTTATCTTGTTGTTTAATTTTTTGAGTTCTTTGTATATTCTGGATATTAGGGCTCTATCTGAAGTGTGAGGAGTAAAGATTTGTTCCCAGGATGTAGGTTCCCTATTTACCTCTCTTATTGTTTCTCTTGCTGAGAAAAAACTTTTTAGTTTGAGTAAGTCCCATTTGTTGATTCTAGTTATTAACTTTTGTGCTATGGGTGTCCTAGTGCACTTAACACTACCCTATGCTGTCTCCCAAAGGCTCTTGCAGGGGGCATATGCAATTATTTGCAACAGGATGTGCATGTGACATTATTGGTTATACTTGTGCCCTGGGAGTTGGGGGTAGTACAATGTGGACTATTTTGTGCTTTGTTTGACACACAGAGAAAAAGGTTAGTCCAAATTGGTTATCTATATCTGTGGATATGTATTCATACATGATAACTGCTCAGTTCTGAAAGATGGCATATATTTAATTTGGCCAAAGAAAAAAATGAAAAAGAATCTTTCAGAAGGTAGACCCAGGGGCCACAGAGAACAGTGAGCAAAAAGAGCTTCTCAGAGACAAGAGTTTAATCAGGTAACAATCCTCAACTACAGGTAGAGGAACCCCAAAAGTTCTCTGCAGCAGGATTTCAGAATTCCTACAAACCCAAATTTGCTGTGGATTTCCCATTTCCCCCAAGAAAAGCATTTATTACAATTGTCCTGTGTCTGTACCTCTGGGTGAGAGGAGGCAGGTAATTTATATTTATTTATTTTTTTTGATTTCACAGGTGCAGGTAGTATCTAGAAAAGTGGCAGCATGAGGAGCTAGGGTTGTGGCTCAGCGGTAGAGCACTTGCCTAGTGCATGCGCGAGGCCCTGGGTTCTATCCTCAGCATCACATAAAAATAAATAAATAAAACAAAGATATTGTGTCTAACTACAACTAAAACATAAATATTAAAAAAAAAGAAGAAAAGTGGCAGCATGATTGGAAACTACCATACTTACCCAGAGGTCATAGATTTTGAACTTGATGCCATCTTGCACGGGATTTGGGGGCTTTCTTGCTTGTGTTTCACATCTCTGAAATAGAGTAAATCAAATACATGTGGATCAAAAAGGGAGTACCCATTAAGGGTGTTCTAAATTCCCCAGTTCTTCTTCCAGGGATCTGATAGGATTTCATTTCCCTGCCCTTGAAGTTAGACATCAACAAAGTAACTTGCTTTAGCCAATGAAATGTGAGTATAAATGATAGATGTCTCTTCTAGAAAAAATTCTTTAACAGCCAATACAGGACTGGGGTTATGGCTCAGTGATAGAGCATTCGCCTAGCGTGTATGAGGCCCCGGGTTCAATCCTCAGCACCACATAAAAATAAGGTATTGTATCCAACTACAACTAAAAAATATTTTTTTTTAAAAAAGAGCCAGTACATTATTCAAATATTTCTATTCTTTCCTGCTGTAGTGATCACAGAAATACATGATAGAGCGCTTTGATCCTGGGTCCTTGAGTTGCTCAAATGAACAGACTCTCTTGCTGACCTGGGTTCTGCATGCAGAATGAGCAAGAAATAAACATTTGCTGTAATTAAGCCTCTGAGACAGGGAATTGTTTCTTAGTAGGGGTAAAAGGCAACCTGTCCTTATTTATACAAGCCCAAATCTAATTAATTAATTGAAACCATTTCCTTGTGTGTGTGGGTGCACGCACCTGGTGGGTACTCTATCAGGGGCTACTTTCACAGTCTTTTTTTGTATTCTTTTGTTATTTTGAAGCAAGGTCACACTAAGTTCCCCAGGCTAACCTCAAGCTTGCCATCCTCCTGCCTCAGCCTCCAACTCAGTGGGATTACAATTGTGTGCAACCCTAGTGGCTGAGATCACTTCCTTCTTAAAGAAGCCGTACAATTAAGATCAACCAACCTGAGATAAGATTGATAGATTGATTAGATCAACAATCTAATCTCCAATTATGTGTACTTGGTCATTTCATTATAGAATACAGCATTGAATGAAAGGTGAGATCTGTCAAAGTAGAGGACTGTGTATATATATATATGTGTGCGTATGCACATAAAATATTTCATTGTATTATGCTTTTGTTTATTTTTAAAAATACCCATCTTTTTCTTAACGCATTATTACATTTATTTATGTTTTCAATTTGTATAGAGTTGTTGCATTGCTTTTCAAGTAGGGATAAAATCAATAAAGGAGAGACTTCGATAGTCAAAGGAAGAGGAAACATTTTTTTCCATGTAGAACGTGACTTGAAGCAGAACTTGGCAATCCAGCATCATTTAACTGGCAAGAGTTTTCATGAAGAAAAAAGTCTAGGGTTGAATCAGAAAAGAGGCCTCCCAGGGAGGCCATAAGTGACTCCTCAGTGGCAGAAAAACAGTAGAAGACAAAGGAGAGAGAAAAACACTAAAATTTTGAGGGAAGCAGCACAAGTTCATCCTTTCCCATGTCAAAAAACATATTATTGCTTAGCTTATGATTTGCAGATTTTGTGGTAAGTAAGAGAGAGTCTGTAATTTTTAAGAAGCTTCCAGATTCTAAAGGTGGACCTAGGAATGGGTGGAAGGCATGCTATGAGGGCAGAGGTGGAGTTGCCATAAAACTAATAAGAAATAAGCTTCAGGACCCCTCACTTGCATCTTTTTTTCAGAGTAGTACCACTTTAATCCTAGGAGCTTCAGGCCCATGCAACCTGTATCTGCCTCTGTTTGGCATAGCAAATTGGAATTGTAATCCTGATATTCTTCCTGCTATGAACTTCCTAAGCAGCCCAAGGATGGGATTGGGTGGACAAAGTAATAACTGGGGAAAAATCAGTTGGTTTAGCTGGTTTTAGGAAAAATTTGAAAAAGGTACATTGTCTCCTTAATCAGTGGGTGTCTTATAGCATGTAGTACGAATATATCTTGGTTTGGGCTGGGGCCTTAGTTGCTAAACTCTGGGTAATGATACCAATATTTCTTTTAAAATACATGCACCAAACAAATAGGGATATTCGTAAAACAGCCTGGCTCTTGAGGACCACTGTAAGATTGCCATCTTTTTCTAGTCAAGGTTCATTCAGGGCAGGACTGAGATGCTGGAGATTGCCTTGAGTGAGGGGTATCATGAACCAAACTAGGACAAATAGCCCAAACCAGACTACTAAATCCAAATGCCCAGGTAGAGAGTAGAGGCAGATGTGGGAGTCTGAATCAATGGAGGACAGAAAGGAGGGTGACAGAAGGGAGCAAAGAGCATGCCAAGGATGGTAAATGCCTTTTTCCATGTTTTTTTTTCCTGGGACCCCCTGCCCACTTGTGTGAGCAGGCTAAATTAAAAATCAGACAATATGAAGATGTGACATGGAAATTGCATGCAGAGGAAGGTAAGAAATATCACAATCATTAAATTACGCATTTCTGGTTTGAGTCAATGAAGGACCATATAAAAACCAGATAAAACAACAAAGACAGGAAATAATTGTAGCAAGTTTTATCCCTTATCAAAAAAATATTTGATTAGTTTCTCCAGTGAGCCCAACCTGTGGTATATGCTGGGCTACAGGGATAACCATGACAAACAAGGTCTTTATACCTTAAAGATCACTTTCATCTTCTAACACAGCTCCTTCTATATTTGAAATATGATCATTTACATATTTAATGTGATTATTAGAGTATAAATATTTGAGTGAGGTTATGTCCTATTCATCCTTGTATTTATGGAAGATACTCAAGAAACATTTGTTGACTGAATAAATGAATTCATTTGCAGTGAGAATAATATAGCTCATGAAATTCATCCAAAATGGACATGTTAATTTAGAATGATTAAAACTTCATGAAAGGAAGACTTATCTCATAATTCTGAAATGTAATACCAAAGAAGTATTATGATTAATGAAATTATGTAGAAAAATATCTCTAAAAGGGATATATTCAGAGATTAGTCAGGAGTTTTTTTTCTTTTTCTTCCTTTATGGCTATTTTTCTGTGCCAATAATTTGCTGCTAGAAGTTGTTCTTTAAAACAGAATCTTTAGGTAATAGATTAAATCCAGCTGGCTTCAAATGGTAGCTGGGGGGATGAGTCACAGATGGCCAGCTATCTAGGGAATTCTGTGACCTCAGTGATAACCCACTAAAATTCCTGGACTTTTCTTGTGAGAGAAATTCTGTATTGCCTGAGAATTGTTACTTTTTTAAATATATTTTTTTAGTAGTAGATGGACACAATACCTTTCTTTATTTTTATGAGGTGCTGAGGATCGAACCCACTGTCTCACACGTGCAAGGCGCATGCTCTTTCACTGAGCCACAACCCCAGCCCCAAAATTATTACTTTTTTTTTAAGATAAAATTCACATTACATAAAATTAACCATTTTAAATCCCACAATTCAGTGGCATTGAGTGAATTCACAATGTTGTACAATCATCTTTTAAAAAAATTGTTTTAAATGTCTTTATTTTATTTGTTTGTTTATTTTTTATGTGGTGCTAAGGATCGAACCCAGGGTCTCGTAAGTGCTAGGCAAGGATCTATCGATGCGCCACAACCCCAGCCCACAATAATCTTCTTTATCTGGTTTCAAAATGTCTTCATTACACCAAAAGGAAACTTCAGACCATTAAGCATTCATCCTGAGAATTATTTAATCTTTGATTCTAAGTACCTATTTTATCGGCTCTGTAATAGAGAAATAACATAAAAAAGAATTTTTCACTACAAAATATGAAATAGTAGCTTTAACAATAGGATTTGTAGGACCAGCCAGGGGCCAGTCTACAAATCTGAGAGTGACTCCCTCCTGACCTCTGATTCTGAACACACGGGCAGGATCTACCCTCTAGAAGGGCAACAGTTATAACTCTATGCCTCTAAGAAAGCTGTCTGGGCTGACCCTAGAAGATCAAAATATCAACTGAGTTTTGAAGCATATTTAAGGTTTTCAGACTTACGTGATTTTGAGTTACCAAAAACAGGCCATCATGAGATGTAGTAAGTGATCAAAATGAAAAACACAAATATATAAATGTATTAGAAAGTGAAAGAAAAAAAAAAAACTCACAAACACAAACACTACACAGCAGCAGTCTTCGGGAATTACCTCTTTACAATTTTGACTCTCTTGATGAGAGCCCATTCCTTCAGTGTGTGTGCTGAGGGAATGGGCTCAAATGCTTCTAAGGTGAAAATCTATCTTCAGTAGGTAAGAGCATGGAGAAAGATTTTGGCCAGAAACAAAAGCTGAAGAATCCCCAGAGGGGATCATAGACTGGCTCCTAGGATCAGTGTTCTATTTGCCATTCAGATTCTACTCCTGACTATATTCTTTTGGGGCTCATGTCTAGAATGGGTGGGGTGAGTAAAATTTGAAATTTGAAAAACTACTGAGTTAAGGAGGAGGCCATTCAACAAATATTGTGGAAAGTGCCAAGTGCCAGGGTTTTGTTACACACAGAGAATATAATGGTCACTAAGATATAGTCCTTGCCTCCTCTCCCCCAAATTTTACAGTCTAAATGTAGACATTTAAAACGGGACTAAAGATAGCTAGGGTAGCCCATGTCTATAATCTCATCAGCTCGGGTGACTGAGGCAGGAGGATCACAAGTTCAATGCCAGCCTCAGCAACTTAATGAGACCCTAAGCAATTTAGTGAGATCCTGTCTCAAAATTTTAGAAAATTAAAAAATAAAAAGGACTGGGGATGTGGCTCAGCAGTAAAGGGTCTCTGGATTCAAACCCCAATACAAATAATAAAAATTAAAAAAAATAATAAAATAAAAAGGACTACCTAAATTTTATATATATTTATAGTTATAGGTAAATACAATACCTTTATTTTATTTATTTATATGTGGTGCTGAGGATCAAACCCGTGCCTCGTGTGTACTAGGCAAGTGCTCTAGCACCAAGCCACAACCCCAGCCCCATAAATAATAATTATAATAAAGCTATAAGGATTAGTTCAGTAGGCAATGGCAGTGTTTAATGGGGAAATCCAGCCTGCCTGGAAGGACAAGGGAAGACTTTCCTGAGGAGATGACATTTCAGCTGAGAACTGTGGGATG